GGCAGCAATGGGAGCCAACAAAAATTGCGTTGCACCACAGCAACACCCTGCCCTGCCTGCAGGAAAAAAACCACCAGCACTGCAGGGCCAGGCCAGGGGCGACCCGTGCTGCTGGAACTGCTTTGTACCTTTCCCAGCTGATGGGGGCCATCCACAGTTTTCCCATCATCATCTGGACCCCAGCTGCAAAGAGAGACACTGTGATGTAAGAGGAGTCACAGACAGCAACACTTCCTCCCGTTATGGTTTGCCATCAGAAAGGAGCTACACGGTGTTGGAGTAAAGCAAAGAAAGCCTCCCAACTGGAGGTGCTGCAGGCTCACCTGCAGCTGTAGATGTCATTGATCTGATAATGCTTGTTGAAGGCGATGGCCTCCATGCTGTCAGTGAGGGGCCCATCCAGCACTCGGATGCCTGCAGACAGAAGACAATGAACGTGACAGAAGGGGATCAAAGCAAGCTGTGTAAACAGCACGCACAAATTCCTCAGCGGGTTCACAGGAGGGATGCTTCCACTCCCAGCCTGACTGAACCAGATCTCCTGAAACTATAACCAGGATCAGTCTGCAGGGGCACAGTGAAGTCAGGATCTGGAACTGCAGACACATCCTCACGCTCAGTTCCACATCCTGTGCCAGACACGGCTTTTCTGCTAAGCAAATACTCCAGTCCCACGGCCAGATTCGAGTTGGATAGGGAAAGGACAACTGAACACCCGTTAGACTCACTCCTCAGTGCTCCAGAACATCCTTGCCCAGAGCACTGCTTCATGTTACTGCTTCTTTTCAGGGTCAGTCCCTGCCTGGAGCAATTGCTTCCCCTTTCAGGCCACCAAATGGCCAGGCATTGCTTTGGGATGGGTGGCATGCTTGATGACTGAGGAAAGGGTACAAGAGACGTAAGACACCTCAATTACTGTGCTCAGGACCTCTTCAGCAGTATAAAAAAAGCTCAAAGCTGAGTTTTCCTTGACCCTAACCCTTAATAACTACAGTTTTACATCATAGTTTCAGCTGGCAAAGAATGTTACAAATGGAAACCAGGCACACACCTCAATTAAGACTATTTATAAACAGTACAACTGCCCACCCATCTCAGCTCCTGCCCGGCACAGTGCATGTGGCTTTTTACTGTCACATCTGAGCCTTGCTCTGTGGAGAAGCTGAGCAGCCCAGCTAGGGATGAGCTGGCTCCAGCACTTCCATGCTGCCGTGCCATGTCTCCCTGTGCCATCCTAGAGCTCAAGGCTTTCCTCCTGCGCTCACCCTGCAAAGTCAGGCACATATTTGGAGAGCCAAAGGTCAAAGAAATGCTGGGTTCTGCTGCAGTGAGCTCGAGCTAACCCCTTCCTACTGCTGCATTCACATTGCTACAGTTAAACTACTGAGCTGACCTCTTCTTCTACCAGAGTTCCACCAGCAGTTTTTGTTTGCAGTCCCTTTGGCAGGTTGGAGACTGGGGCTGTGCTATGGCCCACAGGCTGCTCTGGAAGCATCCAATGGGGAGCCACAAGCAGAGCAGGGGCATGGAACTACCTGCAGTGGCCTGGGATGCTCTGTGCCTCCTGGACCCTGCTGGCACCCTTGGGCCCAGCCTGTTCCCCAGCAGGGCTGTCACAGGAGGCTGGTGCTTGTCACAGGGAATGTGGCACCATCTGCTGGGTGTGGAGAGAATCACACAGCAGCGCTGCCAAGGATGTCAGGCATAGAGATCTCACTTCCCTCTGCAAAGGAAAGCGAGAGCTCCAGAGACAACCAAAGCACATTTCCAGCTTTGCACAAGGCAGATGCGCAGCACTTTGCACCCAAGGGGAATGCGGTGTATTCGGGGACATTTGCTTTCCAACGCCTCCAGATGCAGCCTGTAGCTCTGCACTGGACTGGACATCTCTGTGCAGCGTGGCACACATTTGCTTAGCTGTGTGGTGAATATTGTGGAAACTCCCAGCACACACCTAGCACACTGCCAGGCCTCTCTGGAGAGGAGCTGAGGAAGAGCTGAGGAAGAGCTGAGCCCTCACCTCTGAGGAAGGAATCAGTCTCAACAAGCCCTGCCTGATTCACAGCCACCTGGGCTGAGCCACCTCTCGGGGGGGGCCGTGCCCCAGCAGCACGTGGGGAGAGCAGAACGCTCAGCTCACAGCTTTGCCACAGCTTGCACCTACCTGCAATGCGGCTCCCATAGGCAACTCCCACCGTGCAGAAGCTGTTGTTGGGCACAGCAGCGATCTCCCCTGCGCAGCGAGTGCCGTGGTGGTTGCCGTTCTCTTCGTCAGGGTGAGGCATGGGGTCGGGGTCATTGGAGTTCAAGTCATAGCTGCCTTCTGGGCTCTGAAAACAGAGCCACGGTCACAACTCAGAATCACAGAATCGCAGAACGGACAGGGTTGGAAGGGATCTCAAGGATCACGAAGCTCCAACCCCCTGCCACATGCAGGGCCACCAACCTCCACATTTCATAGCAGCCCAGGCTGCCCAGGGCCCCATCCAACCTGGCCTTGAACACCTCCAGGGATGGACAGGGCATCACAGCCTCTCTGGGCAGCTGTTCCAGCACCTCACCACTCTCATAGCAAAGAACTTCCCCCTGACATCCAACCTCAATCTTCCCTCAACTTAAAACCATTTCCCCTTGTCCTGCAGTTATCTACCCTTTCAAAGAGTTGATTCCCCTCCTGTTTGTAGGCTCCCTTTAGATACTGAAAGGCCACAATGAGGTCACCCCGCAGCCTTCTTTTCTCCAGGCTGAACAAGCCCAGCCTCCCTCAGCCTGTTGTTGTGGGGAAGTGCTCCAGCCCCCTGATCAAATCTGTGGCTCTGGTCTGGACCCTCTCCAACAGCTCTCTGCCTTTCTTGTACTGGGAGCTCCAGACCTGGATGGGGCCTCACAAGGGCAGAGTAGAGAAGGACAATCACCTCCCTGGCCCCGCTGGCCACCGCTCTTCCGATGGAGCCCAGGACACCATTTGCTTTCTGAGCTGCAAGAGCACACTGCTGGCTCATGTTCAACTTTTCATCCATCAGGACCCCCAGGTCTGCAGGTCTGCTCTCAAGGGCCGCTCCTTCCACTCCTTATAAATGCCTGGGATTCCTCGGGCATCTGCTTTCACACACGAGCAGACACCACCAGGGCGTCCCCACGCTCAGCCACCTGCCCACTGTCCCTCACACCCACAGCACTCACGTAATTTGGCTGTATGTCCTTGATGGTGTGCTCCACGCCATCGTCCACCACCACCACCGTCACTCCGCGCCCCGTCACGTTCCGCTCCCACACGCCGGTGACGTTGATGTCCTTCCCGGGGCTCTTGCGGTTGTTCTGAGCAGCAGAAAGGACAGTGAGAGCAGTGCATGAGGAAGAGCAGCAGCCCATCAGCCCTGAGAGCGGGAACCTTTTGCACAATTACAAAGCGCAGGGCCAGGGCGAGTGCAGGGAGGTGTCAAGGACAGTCACGAAGGATTGGTTTTACACAGCCAGCAAGCAACAGCCGCTCAGCCACAGAGCAGAGCACCAGCACTGCACAGGCAGCGCCGGATGCTCAGACAGCTGCTGCTTTGCCCACGCGACTTCTCACTCGTAACCACACAAAGGGCCCCACGTTGCCATCAGGGCAGAGGCAGAAAAACCACTCACCAGATGCCACTGCTGGGGGTATTTGGGATCATTAAAGTGCAGGCTGCGTTTGGAGCGCTTCAGAAGCTTCTGTTCCGAATGCCACCGCACGCTGTCATGCTGTGCAAACAAAGTGTCCACTGATCTCCTTATTGCTTCGGGTTCGGGTGCCGGGTGGCTGTCGGGCCGGTAGGAGAAGAGGTAATGGCCCTTGAGCTCCCCGATGCGGCCCATGTTCACCAGCCCCGCGGTCTGGGCCAGCAGCTCCGCCCGCTGCTCCAGTTCCTCCTCCGGCACATCCAAGCTGACGGCCCACGCCAGCTCCCCGTGACCACGGGCCACACTGTGGCCATCATCGAGCTCCGTGCTGCGGCTCAGTCCATGGGGCAGCACGAAGGGGATCCAAGCAGCGCCCAGCCAAAGGCACGTGTGGATGCAGCGCACAGCCTGCACTCCTGTGCTCCATCGCGGCGACCTCCGCTCCCGATGCGGCATCAGACAGGCAGGCTGGAAAAGAGCCGAAAAAGGCAAATATTGATGACAAAAAGGAACAGCGACTAAAAAGAGGAACGGTGAGACCTGCTTCCAGCACTTCCAGTGCAGGTGCCACAGTCCCAGCTGTGTTTGCTGCCGGTCCCTGGCACTGTCACAGAATCACAGAATCACAGAATGGCCTGGGTTGGAAGGGACCTCAAGGATCGTGAAGCTCCAACCCCCTGCCACGTGCATGGCCACCAATCTCCACGTTTAATACCAAACCAAGCTGCCCAGGGCCCCATCCAGCCTGGCCTTGAACACCTCCAGGGGCGGGGCATCCACAGCCTCTCTGGACCTCTCTGGGGTCCCTTCCAACCCTGGCCATTCTGTTATTCACGTCCCGCACCGCCAGGCCCCGAGCAGGGCACCGCCCGGCCCATCTCTGCCCTCTGCTGTAGGAAAGCAGCAGGGAAAACCCACCTCACCGGTCGGACACCCGCTTCACCCTTAGGCTTCGCTGCCGGCCGCCACCCAGCGCACCCAGCGCTGCCGGGCCGCACCAGGTTAAAGTCCAGCCCCGCGCCCCGCGCTCCGGACGCTCCGCCCGCCTTCTCCATACGGCGCGGCCGGGCGGACGCCCACCCTGCCCACGGCCCGCCGCTCCCCGTGCCCCGCGGACGCCCTGCCGGGCCCCAAGGCGATCCCGCAGCCCCGGCCCCGCTCACCCCGCATGGGCCGCCGGTGCCGCTCCGTCGCCGGATGCCGCGGCTTCTGACAGCGCCGTCACGTCCGCGCCCGCCCCTCCGCGACGCGACCTCCGCTCCGCAAGGGGGCGCCGTCGCCGCGGGCGCTTCCGCCGGCGGCCGGAAGGGGCGGGGCGGGGCGGGCGGTACGCGGGCCGAGCGGCGCCGCTCCGGGCCCAGCCGCAGCCTCCGGTCGGGTCGCCATGGCGCTGGAGCGGGCGCAGGCCGAGGGCCCCGCCGCCGCGCCGCCCGCCAGGTAGGCCTCGGGGCCGGGCGGAGGGGCCGCGTCGCGGCTACGGCGACGGGTGACCTGTTTGTTTCGCACAGCCTCTCCGCCCCGGAGAGCCCCGGCGAGGCGGCGCCTGGTGGAGAGGCGGAGTCCGCGGCCCTCCCCGGTGAGGCGGCGGGAGGCGAGGGGGAGCGCGGGCCGGGCGGCGGCGCGGAGGCCGCGGGGCAGAGCGAGGGGGCGGCGGAGGAGGACGAGGCGGAGGAGGCGAGCGTGAAACCCTCGCAGAACATCGCGGTGCAGGTGGGCGCGGGGCGGCGGGGAGAAGCTCCGGGGCCGGGGGTGTAACGGGGGTTGGCGGTGAGGGGCTTCCGAGGCGGCTTTTAAGTAAAGGAGTGAAGCGATGCGTTGGCGGGGAGCGACCCCTCGCGGGGCTGAGCCGTTGCTTTGGGACGCCTCGGCGCTGGAGGTGACTGGGGGGAGGCCGGGGTGTTTGCGGGGGGGTCTGATGGGAGCCGTCGCCCTTTGCAGACTGACTTCAAAACGGCCGACGCGGATGCGAACACGGATCAGGACATTGAGAAGAACCTGGTGGGTACTGAAGCCCTGTGGTAGGTCGGGGTTCTGCTGCTCCTGCTCCCGCAGGGGGCGATTTGTACCTTGCAGCTCTGGAAACTTGTGGGTGCTCAGAAAGCTCTCGTGGTGCTTCAGCAGTCAGCAACATGACCTGAGTTCTGAAAGGCTGCAAAGCAGTGGTGGTGGGGGTAGCATCTGTGGGACCTGGTAGCTGTAATGTGTCTTATGTATGAGCAAGGAAGATCATCTTGGCAGTTCAGTGAATAAGGGCTGTGGATCTCGGTCTGTTTTTGGCTCCGCATTAAGTGAAACGCTGCCGGTTTGTTTCTAAATATCTTGTTTATTTAAAAAATAAAAAGGAAACCATCAAAAACATTTCCCTCCACCACTCACTGTGTTTTCACTCATTTGCTGATCAAGGCATCCCAGGGCATTTGAAAATGCTCTCAGGATGTCCTATGGTGAAATTGTAGCACTGTATAGGAGGTAGCTGGAGGCAGGGTTGTTCGTGGCACTCGGCATCCTGGTGCTGCCTCCCCTGCCCTTCCCACAGGATGTTTTTTTTCCCCCTTTAAATACCAGCTTTGGCTTCCTGACCTGTCCTCTTTAGAAGAGGAAATGCAGCTCTGGCTGCAGCTTCAGGCAGCGCTGCCGTTCATTTTCTCTGACCTCCAGAGTGTGAGCTTTGGTGATGGGAGTCACTGAGCCGTGCTTCTGCACAGATTAAGCCTTGGCATCTGCTGGGCTTCTGTGTACTGTTCTGCTGATTTTTCCCGTTTGTATCCGTGCTCTCTGTGGTGTGATGGAGGGGAAAGGTTCTCCTTGAATTTCTGCTCTCTGGTGCAGGACAAAATGATGTCTGAGAGGGCTTTGTTAAAGGAACGGTACCAGGAGGTGTTGGACAAACAGCGGCAAGTGGAGAACCAGCTGCAGGTGCAGCTCAAACAGCTCCAGCAGCGGAGGGAAGAAGAGATGAAGAACCACCAGGTAATTAGCAAAGTCTTCTTTCTGTTATCTGCCCATAGCAGTTCTGTGGTTGAGGTGGGCTGATCTGGGCCTGTGCTGAGGGGCACAGTGAGGTGCAAAGCATCGTAAGAAGTGGCAGCGACCCGCAGCGTGGCACTTCTCCCCTTGTATTATAAGTGTGTTTCACAGCATTAAGGATTGATTCCTGCTCAGATCTGGGTGTTGAGGGTTTAGAACTGCGAAGCATCTTGCATGCGTGTCTGGTGGTCTTACAGCATCTCTCTAACACATGCAAGAGTTTTTTTTCCACATGGAAACTGGTGGGGAGAGTGGTGTGAAGTGGAAATTACCTCCATGCCTTTATTTAGATGTCTCTAGTTGTTGCCAATGGGTCCCAGGCTTGAATGAGGGATTGACAGCTAGCTGTGTGGGGCTCAGGTTAACACAGAAGGAATCATGGGTGGCTCATCAGCTAGAACTTGTCCTTGTAAGGAGACAGGAGAACCTGCAGTTCTGACCTTCTGTCTGTCTCCTGGGTTGCCTTACAATAAACTCATGAACTAAAAAGAAAGATTTTGATGCCTGTGATCTTATAACCTCTCCAAGTTTGTTAAGAAAACAACATCTTTATAAATAACAAAAGCCATTTCTTGAGGATTTTGCTCTTTACTTGCTTCTGCTCCTATAGGAGATTCTGAAAGCAATTCAGGCCGTTACGATCAAGCGGGAAGAGACAAAGAAGAAGATGGAGAAAGAGAAGAAGGAATTCCTGCAGAAAGAGCAGGATCTGAAAGCAGAAATTGAGAAACTCTGCGAGAAAGGCAGAAGGTACTGGCATGAACAAGCCATTTTTTAGGAAGGAAGGCATAATTGAACTCTGCTGTACACAGATTAAGTAAAAGAGGATTGCTTTCAACCTTTGGAAGCGTGTTTCTGTGAGCATGCAAACGTGGTCCCACAAAGGAATTTTGAGCTGGATGTGGTGGTTGTACCTGTATGTGCAGACAGCTCGGCAGCTCCGCTGTGCTCTGTGTTCTGTCTTTCAGAATGCAGAGCCTTTCAGCAGGAGGCAGGACAGGTCATTGGCAGTGCCTTGTTTCCTGTAGTAAATTTCAGTGTTTCCTGTTGTAAAATTCCTATTTTCTTGTAAATTTCCTGCTCAAATACTCTGCCTGTGCCTAATGGTTTGGAACACGCTGCACAGTCATGCTTTGCTTTCAGGTAGGCAGCTTGCTCTGTGCAAAGAATCGTGCTAGATTCACAGGGGTTCTGAAGCAGGCAAAGGGCTTCAGGTTCCTCTGAATGGTGAATTGGCATTTTTAGGGAGCCGTTCTGGAATGTCTCAGAGATCTGACTTCTTAATTTGAGGCTCAGTGACGTTTTTGCATAAAGCTGCTTTAGTAATGGCTCCCAGCACTCAGCTCCTTTCCCCCTGCATGAACTGTGGCAAACGTTGTCAGAGAGGCGCAGTTCCCTGTGGTGGATCCTGGATAAAAGCCACACTCTGTGCTCACTGCTGTGATACAGCAAAATTTTTGCTCTTGAGGATGGCAGTGGTTGCTTTCAAACATGGGAGGTGTAGTTTGGTCTCCAGAGTTGTGGCACTGAGCACACGGCTGTGCAGATGCACAGTGTGAAGGTGGGACGCGCACACCAGTGGCTGCGTGCTGACACCTTGCAGGAGGTGACTCCATCTGTTCTTTGTGTTTGTGCAGGTTGCTGAAGGAGCAGGAGGAAAAGGAAAACAAGATTGCTTCTCTGATTGCAGAGCAGTCTGATGAAAAGTAAGGCTCTTATCTGTTACCTGATTAATGCTGTTGAACGTTCTTGTACTGGTCGTTTTGTCTCAGAGAGCCTTGTGGGATAGGCTGGAGGTGGTGGTCTCACAGTGCTCCAGTTATGTACTGTAGAGGTTTCATCTCCCCTTCCAGCAGGTTTTGCTCACAGCCTCTGGATTAAATCCTCTGATCCTGCTCTCAAGGAGGCTCCTTGATACTTGTGGCATAAAGATCCCACGAGACTGGAATTTATGCCTAATAGATTGACTCAGCTTGTAGCTGCTACTTCTGACTGAATTTCAGCTTCCCAAAAATCAGGCAAATCTATTTCTTCGTGCTGTTTCCTACAGCTGCCCAACTACTTCAAAGCTGGGCACCTTTCAGGCATTTTAGTGCTGCACAGAGAAGTTCCAAACCCAGTCACAGGTGGAAAGGGCCATCTTCCTCCTTCAGGACTGGAGTGTGTTGGTTCTGGGAAGCAACCTGAACTGTGCACCGTTCCCTGGAGCTGGCCAGAATTTTGCTGAAGAGAGGGAGTTCTTTCCTGCCCTCTTTGCTAAGCTGTACACTTGTGTTTGCACTGTATTTGTTTGCTGCTCTGCAGCGCTCACTCCTGGGATTCTGACTCACACAGCCTTGGGAAATGTGACTGATGTCACGATCTGGAAGCTGCCAATGCTCCACAGTTCCACTCCGTCAGGAGTTGCAGGGATCAATTGGCTTTGTGGGAGTTTGGATCTCTTCTTTCAAGTGATTCCAGTGCTAGAGCAGAGTCGTTCTGTTTCTGTCTGCAGGCAGCTATGGGAGATGGAGCTAGATAAGCTGAAGAACCAGCACAATGAAATCAACAGGAACATCCTCGAGGAGACAGAACGGGCCTGGAAAGCAGAGGTTAGTAGGTGACTTCTTGCTCTTCAGCTGGTTTGCAGGTGTCTTTTTGAGATTCTGGATCATTAATGACAGATTCTGTGAAACTAAGAGCAGGAGGGCAAGGAAAGGGTGGAGCAGATGTCAGTGCAGTAAACATTAGTTGGGATTGGTGCCCCAGTGCATGCAGTGTGGTGCTTAGTGAGGAGATCACAGTCACGGTATTGCAGCAGGAAATGAGGGCATAAGAAACTGCTTTCATGTGGGGCCCTGTGTGCTAGATCCTGTCCCTGGAGAGCAGAAAGGAGCTGCTGGTGTTGAAACTAGAAGAAGCAGAAAAAGAAGCAGAGCTGCACCTCACCTACCTCAAGTAAGTCTCTCATAATTGAAAGGGTAATTTGAATGTAGCTGTGTGCCTAACTCCTCTTCCTCTGCTTGCTCTGACAGTTTGACTGGAGTGGTTCAGTTTCCTTTGTTCATCTAATGTGATTCAGTGATGTCACGGGATGGAGCTGTTTGGCTGTGCTTAAATATTTCCTGTTGCTGCTCATCTGCTGTGTAGGCACAGTACTGATTGTAGTGTTTGTCTGTGTGCACCAGATCAGTCTGTACTGTGGTAGCACCATGCACTGTTGTAGGGCTCCTCCCCCGGGTTTGAGCTTTTTTTCCTCCCCAGCCAGAAGAGGGGACCCCTGTTAGGGGAAAGCAGAGGGATTTGGGGAGTTAGTTGCTTCCAGCTGCTTCTGCTCTGCTGCCAGTGACACAGCACGCTTGCAAGAGGGAACGTTACATTGTTCTTGCAGGTCTGCACCACCAACACTGGAGACCATGAGGCCAAAGCAGGAGTGGGAGATGAGGCTGAACAGGATACGAATGACGAAGGAAAGTGTCCGAGTAAGTTCCTGCAGCTCCCAGCTTGGCTGTGTGGTTCACGTCGGTGCTTCTTCACTTGCTTAGCTGCAGCTCTCTTTGGGAGAAGAGTAAGACCAGGAAAGAGGTTGGTGTCCCAAGGTGTAGCACAGTCAGCATTTGTGAGCAGCTGCAGAGCTCTGCCTGCGTCCAGGCTCATGAATGTGGATAAGCCATGTGGATACGAAAGCAGTGTGTTGGATTAATAACAGAGGCAGTTACTCTCTTTCTCCTTGCAGGTCCTTTCTCGTTCTCTTCAGTCCTGCAAAACCAAGCTATGTCTGCTTTGGGGCCTGCAACCATTCTGGGGCTGAGTGCTTTGTTGAGGCAACAGTGCCAGGGGAATTTGCCTGTTCTAGGCATTTGGAGCCCCAAAATTCCTTAGCCAGAGGCTTTGATAAACATGCCTGTTTTCTTTTCTCTCTTCTAGGATCAGTTCAATGACCACATTCAGATGGTGAGAAATGGAACGAAGCTGAGCAGCCTCCCACAGATCCCAACCCCAACACTGCCACCTCCACCCTCAGAAGTGAGTGCCTCTCCAGTCCAACAAATACAAGCTTTGATTGCTGTGAGGCTCTGGGAATAGCCTGTTTGCTGGCTTGTGACTGCCAGTGTCTGTGCTAAGTCTGTGAAAGGAGACTGTAGGACTATGCTTTTTGGAGCTCTCTGCTTGTCCTTTGAGGCAGCTGTCTGCCTGGGCTCACCTGCTGCCCCTGGTGAGAATGGGCTGCATGGCCCTCACTTGCCACGAGAAGCGTAATGGCCAGTGGCTGTGGCTCAGCTCAGCTCCTGCCTGGCTGGGGAGGAAGATGCTCAGCTGTACTTTGAGATGGACTTATTCTAACCAGCCTTTTCTTCCCCCCCCGTTTTTCTTTCTCAGACAGATTTCATGCTGACGGCATTCCAGCCCAATCCATCCCTTACTCCCAGGCTCCCATTTCCCATAGGACCGGTTCCTGTTCCCATGGTCATGCCGAGCGCTGATCCTCGGGCGCTCTCCTTTCCTCTCCTGAACCCTGCAATCTCCAGACCCAACCAGCCTTCCCCACCGCTGCCTGCATCCCAAGGAAGAAACAGCCCCGTCGTGGCATCGCTTATTGGCACACACAGTCCTCACATGACTCCTGCAGCCTCCATCCCTCCTCCACCGGGTCTGGGAGGAGTTAAGGTCACTCCGGAGTTTCACAGGTCACAGCCAGCAGATAAGCTGGAGAAGCTGCTGGAGAAGTTGTTGACTCGATTTCCCCAGTGCAACAAGTAAGTGTCTCATGGTGTTCTTCCCTGGGAATGAAAACGTGTGGGTGAGGTGCGAGCTGGGATAAGGGGAAGTGAAGCTTGTCTGGAGAAATAAGGGAAGCTTAAAGACAAGGGGTGGCTGCTCTCTGTCCGTAAGAAAGATTTGGAGCTCTAGTTAAAACAGCACTGAGACCTGAAAGCAGCCAAGAGCTCTGCCTTCCTCTGCTGAGGTGCTGCACCAGGTGGGCACTGTCTCTTGCTCCAGCAGGGATTTCCCTCACTTCCTGCTGTTTCAGGGACAGAAGCTCAGCATGCGATGCGTCTCATTTGGATGAGAGCACATGTTCCTGTGCTGTGATACAGCCTTCCCCTGGTGCTGGGGGGCTGTCTCACTGTTGCGGGTCTTTTGATGGAGGGCTTCCCTCTGGGGAGACGCTTGGCTCACTGGTGGCGGGTGGGAGCCCTGAGCAGGCTGCTGTTCTGCAGGGCCCAGCTCACCAACATCCTGCAGCAGATCAAGACTGCTCGGAGGACGATGGCGGGTCTGACTATGGAGGAGCTGAACCAGCTGGTGGCAGCCAAGCTCGCGGAGCAGCAGGAGCGGGCAGCAGCTGGGGCTCAGGTAGGATTGTTGGGGTGGTGCTGGGGGCCGTGCCGGCTCCTGGTGGGGGGCTGCAGGGAAAGGGAGCCTGGGTGGCAGAGAGAAGCGAGCAGCTCCTGTTCCCTGGCTCCCTGCAGACCGAGCTGAATGGGGGCCCACTGGTGGGACCACACAGAGCTCAAACTTGGGTTCTACATGCTAGGGGAGCAATTTTTCCCAAAGGTAACTCAGCAGCACAGCTGTCCTTCACTTCTGCACATTTCTGATATGTCTTGTTTGCTTTCCCACAGCCTCTCGGTCGAATCAGGGCCCCCATGTTTTCTGCTCCGCTGCCTCAGATCAGCACGCCGATGTTCCTGCCCCCAGCCCAGGTAGCTTACCCAGGAACGGCATCACATGTAAGATTTTGTGGTTTTTCCAAGTGCACTTCACCATCTCCAGGGAAAGCCAGCTGGAGAGGGAGCCCTTCTGAGAAGTGGCCAAAGGGATGAGCTGGTGGAGCAGGGAGCTCTCTTTCTCCTCGCACAGCTGCTCAGGCTGGTGGGTGAGAAGGGAGGGGTTGGAAGCGTGGGTTCTTCTGTGCTCTGCATCAAAGGAGGAGAGAAAATGCTGCGGGATTGGTGTGCAGAGGGCAGAGCTGGGCAAACTGGGGCCCCTTGCAAGACCAGTAGCTGCAACACTGAATATGTGTGGGTCTATCTGTGCAGTTCAACTGTCTGCTTTGTGTTCTCTTGCTGTTCGACCCAGACCCCAGCTGCCTGTAAGCTATGTCTCATGTGCCAGAAGCTTGTACAGCCCAGCGACCTTCATCCCATGGCCTGCTCGCATGTGCTGCACAAGGAGGTAAGTCCTTCCTTGCTACGTACATCTTCTGTGTTCCTTAATTATGGTTCCCAGTGCAGATTCCTCTCCTGGGTCCCTGGGTGTATGTAGTGAGTTCCTGTTGTATGGAGACTTTGCCAGGAGAAAGGTATGATCAATCCATCGACTTCTCTGTGTCCTATCACTTTGTGCTCTTAGCTGGGCCACCCTGGCCACCATTTGCTGGTGGCTTTAAGAACAAGGCTATCGTTATTCAGCCTCAGAGCTTGTGCTCATTTTTAGGAGGGTTAAATCTTGGCCTTTTGCATTCCTGGAGGAGGAGAGTCTGGGAGGTTATAGAGCACAGGGCGATGGAGAAAGCTTGCACTCACCTCACTGCTGGTGCACAGCAGGCCTGTGTGCAGGAGCTCGGTTGAAAAGGGCTCCCAGTCGCAGTGACCTTTTGACCGAGCTGTTCCTAAGGAGCAAACAAGCCATCCCATAAAATGGATGCCCTTTGCCATCGCTTCTGGAGAAGTAACGCCACGTTCACAGCACCTTTGAGTTGTGCCAGTGGCTCTTGACTAATTCTCTTTCTTCCAGTGCATCAAATTCTGGGCACAAACCAACACAAATGACACTTGCCCCTTTTGTCCAAGTCTCAAATGACGGCTACTCGAACAAAGTGGTCCCACGGGAGGAGTTGCTGTGAATAGACAGGATCAGTTCTAAGATTTCTACAGTTCTATATTTATACGACCATGTATACACATGTACATTTTTATTATATAGGTAATGTGTGTATAGAAAGTCTGTATACATACAAATTCATAAATAAAGTGTGTATATTATGCAGTGATTTGGTGCTGCTCCTTTTTCACCTCGCTGTGTGAAAGCACGACCTGCCTGCAGGGACTCGCGTCCCCTCACTGGATGTCACACGTGCCTGTGCCACATCCGCCTGCTGCTCCTTGTGTGTGCTCTGAGCAGTTCCCCTCCTAGCAATGAACAGATTGCAGATGAGAAGCTTTTGGTTCTTTTTATTTTCTTTAATGTAATAATTTACTGTGTTAACATTCATTGTTCTTACACAGACAATAGGTTACAGAGTACCGGAGTCTATAGCGACAGCCTGCCCTAGCCATCCCCAGCCCTCCTCCCTCTGGGCAGAGTTCTGCACACGCTTTCTCCTGGTGTTTCCTGCTGTAGTTTTGGGTCCTGGTGAGGGAGCACTGGGGAGCAAACAAATTTGGCTGCACTGCAGCTCAGGATAGCCAACCAGTTGCGGTTCCTCGGATCCCCTCTCCTGTACTTTCTCCTAAAGCCCGGGCTGATGCACCAACCCTTTCTCTGTGGATTTCAATGAGATTACAAGGTGCTCAGCACCACTTAAAATCTTGTACTTATTCTGTAGTTTTTTTCTTTTTTTTTTCTTTTTTTTTTTCTTTTTTTGCAGCCTGTGGCACAAATTCAGCACTGCTAGAAGCACCTTTGCTTTGGGGTTGGTCAGTGCAAGTGCTGCCAGGGTACGGCGTGCCTGAATTTGGCCACAGTCTGAGTCTTTCTACATGCACACACACACACGCTTGTCAGCATGTTTTAAGGCAGTGGTCCACAACAGAGTCTGGGATCCTGGGGAGGGTCCTGGGCAGGCACGAGGGTGTGGAGGTCTGTGTGCACTCTGCAATTGCATAACCTTGCACTGGAGTTGAATTGCTGGATGAGTTTTGGAGCACAGCACGGGAGCTGGATGCTGTTTCCCAATACAGTAGGTAAGTGGGATGGTGCAGGGGTGCGTGTGATGGGCTGGCAGGGCATTGCCTGGTGCTGTGATTGCTTGCCTCTCTCCTGATCTCCTACCCTGTGTTTCCTCCTGCCTCTCTCCCTCCCTCACATCTTTCCCAAAGCAATCTTTAACTGCAGGATTTTGTTAATGAGCTTTATGTTAGCGGTTGCTGGAGGCTTGTAGTGCTCCAGCCAGTATCCACCTGAACCAGTGCCTTTGCTCTGCCCAGGCCCTAGCGCTGCAGGTAGCTCTGCTTTTCACCTGTGGAGGAACGCTGCCTTTTTCATTAGTGAAGCTCAGTGTTCAGAACAAAGCACTTTCACATCCAAGTCTGAGGCAGAGAATTAAGGAAACAGCATTATCAATTGTCAGCAAGCTCAAGAGCTCTGGGGATGGGAGGCGACCACAGTGGCACCCTCCTCCTGCGGCAGGGTGAGCTGTGATGCAGGGGAGTACAAAAGGGAAAGGTTGCTCTTACACACCATGGCATCTTCCCTTTGCTGTATGAACAAAGCGAGGGCAAAACCGCCTCCTCTGACCCGTGTCCTTTTGGTCTGTGAACCACAGCTGTGTGATCCAGCTGTGCCCTCTGCCTGCATCCCTCCATCATTGTCACCGGGTCCCTGACACGCAATGCCTCCTCTGACACCAACTCCAGGTCACCCCATGATCCATAAAGTGCTTCCATCCAGGCTGCTGAGCAAGCCCTGGGCTCGGGTGCTGGCCAAGGCCCCAGGACTGAGCAGAGGGCTAAAAATTAAAAAAACAACACAACGAAACAGGATAAAACCCCCTACTATTGGGTTTGGAACAGTGGCTTTCGGAGCTAGAATTAAAAATAGATCTATATGTATATATTGTACAGGTGAGGAGCAGACCATTATTTGTACACCTGTGTGCAGGGACCTGCTATATACACACTGATTCTGCGCAGCTGTACTAACAGTGAGTTGCATTGTAAAAAAACCCAACAAAACAATAAATACAACCATGTGTTTAGAAAAACAAGAAATGCTGCAGTTCCCACAGACACCTCCTTTCCCCAGTGCTGCTAGGGGTCTCTTGCCTTGGGGGCAGGAGCCCAGGTCCGAGCGTGTCTGCAGCCGGGCGCTGGCTGCTGAGGCGAGGCAGCAGCTGCAGGTGGGGCCGCCGAGCCGGCGCTGGCTCCCCTATGGCTTTCAAACAGGCGACAGGCTGGGGAACGGGCAAGCTCTCTCCTGGCACGCGGTTTCTGCTCGTTCCAAGCTCCTTCCTTTGTTCCCGTTCAGTCCGAGGGGCCGTGAAGCGCAGGGAAGAGAACCCCGTGTCCTGGAGCAGAGGCTGTTGTCCCCAGGGCTGGAGGGCGGCAGCCAGCAGCTTCTACGCAGCAAACAGTGTGGATGTGGGACGCAGGTGAGGCAGTTCCCTGTCCCCCAAGGGGACGTGGTGGTCAAAAAATGGAGTCAGGAGAGGATGGCTGCCTGTCCTGGGAGGCAGCGAGGCAGGGTGGGCGCAGAGAGGTCTGGGGCTGGCAGCAATGGAAGGGCAGGTCGGGAGGACAGGGGAAATGCCACAGCACATGTTAGTGTGCACTGTACAGGGGAGCAGGAGGGTGGGAGCAGCTGTCCCCCAACTTCTGCCTTCTCTCACTCCAAGGGAGCTTCAGGCTGGCACTGCGTGGTGTTTTCTACAAGCCCAGGCCTGGGGGCAGTGGCTCTGCAGATGCACTCTCTGGAGTCCAGCTCACAGGTGTCATGGGGAGGGGAGCTGCGTGGGGCAGGCACAGCTACAGCGCACATGCACACACGCACAGTTCACTACACGGAGAGCCTATGCCAGCAGCTTCCCTACAGTGCAGGCTGAGAAGGGCAGATGCAGCACTGGGGGGAGGAGGGGGACAGAAATGGGGTGATGGCTCATCAGTTTGGAAAGTGTTGGCAGGACAGCTAGGGAAAGCTCAGCTCATTTTTGTGCCAGAGCAGACACTTGCACCCAGTCCTTCCAGAGGCTACAGGTGAAACAGGGTTGCTGTGCTGTCACCCAATAGCAGCCAAGCTACATCTGAGGATCCTAGACAAAAGCAGCTGAGGCCTGAGGCTCCCCAAGCTGCCCTTGCACATGCTGCTGCCTGACAGGCTGCAAGTACACACTGAAGTTTTGCTGTAGGTCAGCAAGGGGTGGCTGGTGTCAGAACCAGGGCAACGCCTTTGGAGCACAGAGGGGGATCCTAACCTGCTGCTGGGACCTGATCTCCACCTGCTCCCCAGTGCTGGTGTTGCCTCTCCTGTCCTGCTATGCAAATGCTGCTCTGGGTGATGGTGACCCAGGGACTCAAGCCCGGGACTCGAGCCTCAGTGCTGGCACTCTGCTCCTGGTACTGGGTTGCTCCTGGCCCATTAACTCAAAGGGCACTGGGTCCCTGCAGCCAGGAGGGCCTGGGCTGACTGTGTGAGCACCCTATGCTGATGTCCAGTCTCCATGCTCTAGCCTCCAACGAAAGGACCTACCTCTCCTTGCCCTGCTGCCTCACCTGCTGTCCCGGGGCTGCCCCCACGCTCCGGTGTCACTTCAGCAAAGATATGTCATCAGCAAAGTCATCGTGGTCCCGTCGCAGGCAGCGGAAGCAGCGCCACTGGAACACCATGAGGCAGAGGGGCAGCATGAACAGGGCGCAGATGGCTGCCATGACATAAGCAATGGTCATCAAGGTGGACTCATCCGTCTGTGGGATGTTGTAGCCGCAGTCCTCCATGTTGGAGTGCAGGTAGGGCCCCTCCACTGCGGCTGTCCGAAACTCGTCGTGCACTGTGGGCAGGTAAAAGGCGAGCGTCTGGTCACTGAGATACCACTGCACATCCACACCTCTTCCCCGTAGCCCCCTGCCTTCTCTCCCTCTTGCCTTGCTTCTCTTCCTTACCGTGGCAGGCACTGACAGCAAAGCCAATGCGCTTGCGGGCACGGTCAAAGACCACGTAGAAACCTTCCATGATGACAGCACCCATGACAGTGCCTGTGGAGGACTGAGAGATGGCGAACTTGTAGCAGTCATCCTGAGAGGTGGCCACATCCTCCACTGGGCGCAGGTATTGCTGCAGGGAGAGAAGAGCTGTCAGCTCTGCCCCAGACTGCCTCCTGCTCGGTGCTGGGCAGGGTCTGGCCCGGCCAACGCTCACCTGGGGAAGGATGGTGATCCGGAAGGACTGGTTGGTGGCCTCCCCCATCAGGTAGAGGGACAGAACGGGGAAGATGTGCCAGGGGGTGGTGCCGACCTGCCAGCAAACCAGCTGCTCCCCCAGCCAGAAGCCATCTGGGAACTTCTCCGTCTGCCAGAGGGAAAGGAGAGGTGAGGGGTCTGTGTGGGCAGGGAGCAGAGATGCTCAGACTGGTGACAGGCAGTCACCCTGCCCACAGCCCTCCACTGGCACTGGGGATGTGCCCACAGAAGGGGGGGATGGACGGATGAGTTTCAAGGGCCACACTGACCGAAGAAGCTGTTTTGATGGATTTCACTGCAGCCTCAAACACCTTCTTCGGCAGCCTGAGGTTGGTGGTGCCGCTGTCCACGATACTCTTGTCATAGTTGTACTGCAGACAGCGAGAAGAAGAATGACCCAGGGGTATCCCAGCCCTGCTCCCCTCCATGCCAGCACCTGACTGCTCTGGCTCCCCCTGCACAGCTACTGAGGCTGAGCCCATCCCGTTCTTTCTATTGTGATGGACTCAAAGCTCACATTCATCTCAGCTTCACTCTTGGCCATGCTGCCTGGTGCCCTCAGCCTCCAGGCTGAGTCCAGGCACTGAATCCCCTGGCACCAGGGCCTGCAGCATTCGCTGCACTCAGTGATTTTATCCGTAACCAAAGGACAGGTGCTTTCAGCAACAAAGCAAACCCATTGCAGGGCAGCTCCCCCTGGGGCCCCTGTCACCTCTTTGCAGTCCATGTTCAGGTCCTGCCCATTGACCTCCAGCTTGACAATGATGACCTCGTAGTACCACTCCTTGCGGATGGGTGTGTACCAGATGTCACCCACGTACAGCGAGCGGTCGATGCCACCAATGATCTGCAATGGGAACAGAAAGGTGTCTGATACGGC